GCGCTGGCGGCTATACAAAGTCTCCTTCCGTGGCTTTCTCGCCAAAGACTGTAAACTCTGAGGGCAGAGGCACCGGGTCACTCCAAAGCATTGCTGGCCCTTGGGCCTCGCAGTGTGGGGCGCACACTGGGTGCTCGATCAGTATGAACCGGGTGAATCAACGAGTCAAGGCTCTGTTAGGTACCTCTCGCTGCCGTAACAGATGACCCTAAACTCAGTGGCTAAAACAGCGCGGGTTTATTCTTGCACAGTTCTGGATGGAAGTTGGAAGTCTAAAGGCTGCATTCCTTCTGAAGGCTCTAGGAAAGAATCTATGTCCTTGCTTTTTCTGCTTCTAGAGGCCACGTGTATCTGTTGGCTCCCGGCCCCTCCCCCGCTCTTCCAGGCCAGCAACTGTGTGGCTCTGACTTCCGCTTCTGTGGGCACATGGCCTTCTCTGACTCCGACCCTTCCGTCTCCCTCTTATAAGGATGTGATGACGTTGGACCCCTCCCGCCCCACCCCAAGCCTGGGTCATCTCCCACCTCAGGAGCAGTAACCTAATCACAGGCGCCAAGCTCCTCTTGCCATGTGAGGTGACACGTGGAATTAGAGTGTTAATATGTTTGGGGGGGGGGTGTCATTATTCAGCCGAGCCCAGAAGCGCTTATCTTTAAAGGGTCCGTTCCCCTGCTCTGGAACAAGGTTTGCGGGCCTCTAGGGACGTGCAAAGGCAGACGGTGCACATCCTGCGGCATTTGGAAACATCTTGCCTGGGACCTGTGGCTAGAGGCACGGAGCCTTCTGGAATCCGTGTTTTCCGCGCTCCCCGCGAACAGACACTCTGGCCAGATTGCTTCTCCTACGCTGCAATTACAGGCAGAATCCCCTGGGCAATAAACACAAATTGTTTCATTGCAATGGAATTAGTTGAAAAGAAATGCTTTGTAGCACATGATAGAACTGATGATGAAATTGTTCTGTACCTGCCCTGTGTGGCTCTCGGGCCCTCGACACGTGGCTAGTGTGACGGAGGAACTGACTTCTAGATTTGACGGATTTCAGTTAATTTCACTGTAAACAGCCCCCGGTGGCCAGTGGCTACCGTACTGGAGCAGTACGGTTTGATAAAAATCCCGTATCTGATCTAAAGCGCTCGGACGAGGCACAGCTTTCCTCCAAGAACGCGTGCCGGGCGAGAAGAGCTGTCCCTTCCCCAGGTGCAATAAAACGGTTCACTTGTATTGCCGGCTTACGTACGGCGCAGATACTCGGTCATTTTCCAAGTGCGCGGCTAGTGAGCTGGCAACCAGCCATGGCGGGAGAGCTCGCACGCGGGCATCTGCAAAGGCCACCAACCAAGGCTCCCCACCCCCACCCCATCTCTGCCCCCAGAGAGCTGCGCTGTTCGACCTCGGCCAGCACACCGCTGTGCACACGCAGCTGTGAGGGCCCGGTCCCACTGAACTGTCTTAGCACAGTCTGAGCTTCCTGGCACCCAAAGAGAGAAAGGACGCGCCGCAGGCTGCACGGTGTTCGTTGTCAGAGAGGAAAACAGGATCGTGGCTTCTGGGGTGGGGGGTGGGGGGTGGGGAGGGTTCTCTTAGCCCTCAGCGCCGCCCGGGATGGGCTTCCTCGAATGACAACTTCCTGGGCTTGCGAAGCTGCTGCTTGTCACATCATTCAAGGCTGTCCCTTTCGATAGATGTGGGGGTGAGATGGCCCCACCTTCGCAGCTTTTGGATGTCCATCGTGATCTCGGAGCACAGCTCAGAATGCCTGGGCGAGGCTGGATTGCATATACTTAGTCTCCACCAGTCGCTTCTCCCTCTCGTCTCTATGACGTTGGCCACCTGCGTCGCACCACGCTCGGTGTGGGGGACACATTCATTGATTCGTCCATCTGGAGAATGCGTTCAGATGCACAGGAGCTCAGGACATAAAGGCAGCTGAAACGAGGTCCTGAGCTCCAGGTTTTATCAGACCCACCATTTACAGAGGAGTTTGCCAGGGACTCAGGGCCGGAATTTGGAGGAGGTGAGGCAGGGACTTGCCTTGGGTGCAAAATTTAAGTGGGCACCAAAAAAGTCGGTGATCAAGATAATATTCATAAAAATCAAAATTAATGCAAAAATTCACAATGGGCGAAATCGCACACTGAAAAATAAAAACAGGCTGCCGTGTGTTTGACGACCCGGCATTATCGTGCAAGGGGAATAGTCACTTCCGAGCAGCCAGGACTAACGCGCCCCGCTCGCCTCTGCAGCCTGGGTTTATGGGGATCGACCATGGTGTGTGAAGAAATTGGGCCGCGTGGGGCTTTGTGGGTGTGCGTGTTTGGTTATACAGGCTCTATGAACTTTTTCCACTTGGCTGAAAGTGTTGGGGGCTATTTTGATAAGCATATATACGGGTGGACGCTTCTCCTTGCGTCTCAGGCCCCAGCTTGCTCCTTCCGGACCCCTCACGTAAGTCTCACCGTGCCTTCAGGTGGTGGCTATTTATTACCGCCTACCACTGCGGCCCGCTTTCCAGAAGGGAAAATCAAGGCCTGTGGAGGCTTGGCAAAAGAGCGCAGACGGCGATACCGTGAGCTGGCCCCGTAGTACCTCAAGATGGTGTATGATAAGAGGTGCTGGTCTTTGCTTGAGAATATCGGGAGACGGTTTTGCTTCTGGTCTACCCCTGCACCCCAGGGAGTGTGCTCTCAAAGACAGGTCAACCCAGCTCCCTTCTCTTCCTGCAGGAGCTCGAGGCGAATGTGAGCAAATGATTTCGCTCCGTGGAGAGTCTCAGGGAGCCAGCGCGGTGCCCCGGGTGAGAAGCCAGGAGGACCGGGCCCGACCACAGGGCACGCCAGCCGGGGGAGCGGGAGACTGACGTCAGGGCTTTGATGCAAGGGGGCTTGCAAACGGCTTTCTAGCAGGCCGTGAATGCACTTCCTCGTCTCTGAAAGCTTCCTGCCACCTCTGTGTCCCAGCCGCCAGGTTCTCTCCTGTACGCGCCACCTGCCGGAAGTCCTACGTTGGAGGCATTCTAAATGAAGCAGAGTTTCCAGCACGCTGTATATACCGTGGTGAACTCTGAAAAGGGGCTGGAAAACGGAACATTTTTGGCATCAAATTATACTTCGCGAGTAATTTTATTTTCTTTTTTAATTTTTTTTGACGTTTATTTCTTTTTGAGACAGAGACAGAGCATGAATGGGGGAGGGTCAGAGAGAGGGAGACACAGAATCGGAGACAGGCTCCAGGCTCTGAGCTGTCAGCACAGAGCCCGACGCGGGGCTCGAACTCACGGACCGCGAGATCATGACCTGAGCCGGAGTCGGCCGCTTAACCGACTGAGCCACCCAGGCGCCCCATTCGCGAGTAATTGTAAACGAGGGTTCCTCCAGCTCTGTCCTCCCGGTGCTCTGCTGGGGGCGCCCCGCGCGCCGTGGGAGGCCAGGCAGCATCCCTCGCCTGCAGCCACTGGCCAGATGCCAGCAGCATCCTCCCCCAGAGCTGTCGCGGCCAAGCATGGCCCAGCCGCGGAAAAACGTCACGGCTTCAAAGGGAAACAGAGCAGGAATCTGCGAAGAATATGGAAGGCACCTGTAAGGAGCGATTAAAGCTCAAAGTCTGAAGGATCGTTGCACGAAAGACGGTCACGGCTCACTTTCTGTCTCCACACGGGGCACAACAGGAAGGGAATTGGCGTGGCAGAGAAAGTGAGACTGACCGACAGACGATTAAACATCAACACCGGTTTGGGGCTGGCGGCCGCTTTTCCTAAAGATGTTTATGAGCAGAATAATCTAGGACGACCAGGAACTGTTCTCCCAGGGTTTTGCAGTTAAGATTTGAGAATCTTCAAGTAATAAGATCGGCATTGAAAAGCAGCCACAAAAAAAAGAAAAACAAAAAAAACAAAACAGCCACAAATGTTCATTCCATGATCCTGTCTGCCATGGTGCTTTTAAGAAAACAAGCGATAACTGTTTCTTGTTTCAAGACTAATACACATTAATTGTAAAAAATATATATATATAGATAGATAGATAATGTAACTAAGCTAAAAAGAAGAAAAATGTAAAACACCCCCAATCCCACTAACCAGTGAAATACGATTGATACTTCAGCGAATTTGCTACCTAATTGTTTTCTGTGTTCAGATACAAAGGTATCCATGTAGATACAAATATATTGTATTGTAGGGGCAGAAAACTTTCCCCTCTTCCCTTCTGGGTTCTTTGGCTAGTCCAATAATTAAATGGACATAAGACAGATTAACAGGAGAAAAACAAATGTAATTTTGTACATACGGGAGCCCAGAGGAATAGGAGATGCCAAGAAGTGACCACAGCAAGCAGCTTTTATACCTTGTAGACAAAGAAGCCACAAATCTGTGAAGAATTGACGAAAGTCCGGGCTTGGGGTAGCAAATTAGTGAGAAGTAACAGGTTTGTTTCCACAGCCCTCTGGCCTTGGACCCCCATCTCCGGCAGGAAGGACGTCTCCCTTCCTCCGGGTTCGGGGCGGGCGCCTTCACGGGAGATTTATGTCCTGCTCCCAGGGCACACGGCAGGCCAGAGTGTCCTTGCACGGGCTGCTTCTTATGCGACTTGAATTCGAAACAATCAATGTGCCAAAGTGGCATATTTGTGGGGCAGCCTGCCCTGAACCGCAGCTTGAGCCACGGTGAAGTTCAGCCGTGCCTGCGAAGCAGAAACACGCGCGGAGCAGGTGCACTGCCCCGCGCCCAGCCCAGAGGGCACGCTCGCTCCGGTCTTTCCTGTCCATCCACCATCCCCCGTGTGCGCCGACCGGTCCTTAAACACAAAGGAGCGTCCCGCCGTCCCTCCTCTCCTGTGTGGGCCCCGCCACTTCTCGCCCCGGCCGACATGTGCCCTGGCTCGTCCTGGCCGTTTCCCGTGGACTGGGCCGACCCGGCACCATGTAGAGGCGGTGAGCTTTGTAGATACGGTTTTCACGGTTTCACGTGGACCTTGAAGCCCAAGAGAAGTGCGAGAAAGAATCTTCCGGGTCTGAAAGTCTCAAAAAAGTCACAAAATGGGAGACTGGGTGGGGAGAGGAGGAGAAGCTTCTCAAAGACAAATTCATTTCAAACACAGTTCTGAAAGGATCCTTACAGCATGCAAATAAAAATCTTTAGAAAAACTTTGGCCACCTGAGCATGTAACTTTTACTGTATCTGCCGGGAAACACATTTTGGATCTAACCATTTTTATTTTTGAGTTTTGTACCTGGGACATGGCTAAAAATTTTTAAACAAAGGCTGTAAGAGCTCTGTGTCTGTATTTTCCATGTCTGTGTGTCTGTATGTCTGTGTATATGTGTCATAACGTGTGACATTTTTCTATGAGTATTGCCAAAACTAATTTGCAAAGAGCTCTATTTAATTGGCTTAAAGAAAACTGAGTGTTTACAGAAATCAAGTATACTCTTAGAAATTGTAGAAAGTAAGCCAAATGTTTGTTTCAAGTTCACATGATCTGGGATAATCTTTGATAAATAAAAATTCATTTAAATTTGCTGGTTTAATAAAAGCAAGCATGTCTTCGAAATTTGTCAACAGCAAAACAATAAATAAGATAATGGCTAACCATTTGATGTCTAATCCGAGCATCATCGTTAAAAAGAAGTCATTTAAGTATGTGTAAATACGGTCAAAGTTTATGCTAAATTAAACCAAATAATGGCTCTTCAGTGAATATCTAACTCATTTCCAAATCAGATGAACATTAAATGCTAAGCAGAAGTTTATCTACTTTTTAATTTTTACAGAGAGGAGCAAATATTTGGGTCTATCAATAAACATGTTTGACGCCACATGGAAAAAAATTATTAGAAGACCCTTCCAATAATCTTGCAATGTATTTATCAGTTTGTTAATCTACCACAGGATGCTAACATACGATAGCGCGCAGTCGCCTGCTTCCTGGTTTGCCCTGGAAAGCAAAGATTACAAATAGTTTAAAAAATGGGAGGAAGGGCTGCGAACGAACCAGAAGAAGACGCGGCAGGTAACTCGGTACAAAGCCTGCACGGGCTCCAGGCAAACAACGCAGGTGCAGCAGGCGGCCCCCTGGGGAGGTGAGAGGCCCGTCAGCTTCTTCCTACTGCGCCCGGATTTACCGAAACTTCCAGTTTCCCAAACTGCGCTCACAGACCCTCGGTGAGTGAACGTTAGCCTTCCTGTGCACAGAAAATATGCGTATGATCTACTTATGTCTAGATAAATGGAAAATATGGATCTTCAATTTTATCCATCCTTTATAGAGTGCGTGCGTGGCATATACTAAAAATGGGAAACGTGTGTCAGTTTATTAAACTTTTCTTTCAGTCACTTCTATGGTTTTATATGTGTGAGTATGTGCAGGGCCATACTATTCACTCTGTTTCTTGCTGTGGAATTCTCCAACATGTTGGAAAGCCACTGGGTTTTTTTTTTTTTTTTTTTTTTTCCACAGCAAATTTTGAGCATCGGAAGGGTCTGTGTGGCCAGCTGGAAAGGCCCTTAGGAGAACAACCACCCTTGAGAAAAAGAAAAAAAAAGAAAAGGAGAAAGAAGAACAAAAGGGAAAAGAAAGAAGAAAAAAAGTATTTAAAAGCATTTGCCCCATTTCTTTTAACTATTTGCAAGGCTGGGAAATCTGGTGGCGGCTTCCCAGCTCTTTACAGCCAGTTTCGACCTTGCTGTCCGGTCTTTTGAATTTTTATTCTGCCTGGTCAGCTTAGGGCGACCGTCTTCAGCAACGATGTGGGGACCCTGGTGGCCCTGCCTGTTGTATCATCCCCGGTCTCCCAGGGCAATGTCAGGCTGAGCCTGGAGATGCGAGTGAATGTCATACCGTAAATTTCAAAAAGCGTATGGTGTATTTCCGCTGTATTATATGCTATTGTCTACGAGCGAATCTGTAATTGTTCTGTGGCGACAGCTTTGTGCCGATTCGTTTCTAGATAAGCTTTGTAATTTTTTGAAATTGAGAAAACAACATTTGAACGAATAAAGGTGAAGTTGTCAGAAGAAAGAGGCTTTTGTTTGCTTGTTTTTTGTTTTACGAAACTACTAGAAATAAGAAGGGTGAAAGAAAATGGCTGGATATGAAAAGCAGGATGTGTGTTTTGGCTAAAAGATGATATGAGGGATGGAGATGCATTTTTCGTAAGGAAGAAAAAGAAAGTAATTTTATCCTAAAGTAAAATCACTGTTCCAGAATAAGAAAGAGAAAAGATAGGACTAAATGCAAATAGATATACAAAGTTGAAGGCTTGTGGAAAAGGGATCTTGAGAAAGGAATCTTATGTGTGGCCAAGCAGACCAAGATTAAAATGGATTTATTTAAGTTAAAAAGAAAAAAAAAAAGGACTACTTTTATTTTTTATTTTTTAAATGTTTATTTTGGAGAGAGAGAGAAAGAGAGAGAGAGCGCACACGAGCAGGGGAGGGGCAGAGGGGATGGGGCAGAGGATACAAAGCAGGCTCCCCACTCACAGCAGTGAGCCCCATGTGGGGCTTGAACTCATGAACCATGGGATCCCTGGTGCCCCAAAGGAAGAATTTTAACATCCAAAGTATAATGGTGCAAAATTAGAATTTGGTTTCCTCTCTGTTAGAAGGACAAAGTTTTCTTCGATTATGGGTCTGCTCTTGGTAAGAAATTGCAAACAAAGGTTTTTCTTTACCTTTAATGTAATCCGCCTAGAAAACAAAGGTTTGATGTTTTGACTTCATCAGGTTACGTATGCAAACGGGGTCTTCTTTATTTAAAAAGCTAAGTTATTTTTTCAACTAACACTTTAATGTTATGTTACATTTCATGGGAAGCATTATCAAGTAACAAGTGATGCTAAACTTTTTTAGGAAATATTTACATGGATGTTATTGATATAAATGTTCTAGAAATTCTATGAAGTTCTTGGGAATCTGGTGTACTGACATAGTGTTATCAGTGATAATTCCAGCGATTGTCTTAAAATATTGTATATCAGAAATGACCACATTTTCTTGTCCATTGCATTATAATAAATTCTCATCTGATGTTTAACTACTGCCGATTTTTAAGTCTTTTGTTTCATCCTGATGCTTTTGCAACAATGTTCCTGCAAAGATGCTTTATCTTTGAGGAGATTCATGAAAAAGACCTTGATAAGTACTCTGTAGAATAGAGGTTTCTGATGACTTTAAGATCATAATACTGAAGTGGGTAAGAATTTCTAAAACTTCCATGGAAAAGTGATGAGTTCATAAAACCGACAAAAGATCGAGCTCAACAAGAATTAATTACAAGAGACCCAATGGATCCATGAAGATGACTATAATTTTTATGACTTCATTTAAAATATTGCTGGTTCTTTCATGTTTGGTTTTGCGGATTTAAAAGGATCCGGAAGAACATGATCAATCACTATTCTTGCTGCGCTTACGTAAATAATCAGGCCGAGTTTATTAAAACTCCACTTAATTTGCAAAACAAATTGGTCTTGCCTCCTTGGTCTTGGATGGAAATGGAAATGATTATGGAGAGAAAATTATGTTTCGGTAACACACCCTGGTGGCTATTAGATTCGAGTGCTGGTGATCGTCTTTGAGGCTTATTTTCTACCTGAGTAGATCCTGAGTTCCAGCTGGACTGGACTGGATCCTGAGTTCCAGCTTCCTCCAGTATTTGGCTGCCACTCTCTAGACCAGCATTTCCAATTTTCTCCCACTATTTTGACTTGGAATCACTGTGAACTTAAACCTGCCCCTTCTCCGAAGCCAGGCAGGCTGAAGCTGGCCAACTTGATACGGGCTTCAGATGGTGTGGACCATCTTTGTGCCCGTGGCCAGGTGGCCACTCAGAACCACCCCCAGGGACATTCACACCACAAACAGGAAAGTCTGTCTGATTGCCTGACTGTCACTGCTTGCACTCTGTCTGAAGATACTTAGAATCCGACAGTTCGAAATGTTCTCAGCCGACTGCTCTCCCAATTTAGAAAACGGAACTTCTAATTTGCTTCAACTGTGGGTCTTTGTTTTTCTTTTGTTAACATAGAAATGCCTCTCATTAAATCATCTGATTGCCCACATCACATAGCCGCCTAATTCAGGGGGAAGCCCACGTGCGACACCGCCTCCTGAAATACAACATCAAGTTCATCCTGTCCTAGGAAATCACGAGGATATGTGTTTGCTAATACATCATGTTATGCCTATGTAAATAAACTTTTTTGGCAAATTGACTTAGTAAGGTAAAACCTGAATCTGATTATAACCCGGTTGATTTATTTGGTTGGTGAAACCTTGGCTCCTGGGTATCTCGGCTCTGGGGAATTTTTCAATCCTTGGCTATTGTTCTCCCTACAATCATCATATTGTATGCACTTGAAGCTTTTAAGTGCCTGTGGGCAGTCAGTCCCGTGCCACAGGGTATCCAACAAGATCAGGCAACTGGAGGAAATCAGCAATAACCACGTGACTGAATGACGAAGATGGTGACTACAGGGCCCTCTGGCCTGATGACTCAATGGCAACAGAAATGTGTGATCCTCTGGACTGGCTACCAAGACCATGATCCTATGGCCGGTCATACTCTCAGCCTGCTTCACGGATGACCAAAAGCGGGGGAATTGTTAAAATCAGAAACAAATGAAGACCAACCTTGAAGGGTCCCCGAGCAGACAGAGCCGGTCCAGTCAGGCAGGCAAAGCTAAGTGGACCTGGTCATTTCTTGCTTGTGTCTCTGGAAAGGATAAGCAAAACGTGCACCGCTTCCCAAAGTTGCTATGACCGGTAACCACTGAAAATTATACCATTATAACTCACCACTGTGAAGCATGTTCTGGTTTGAGTGCTCCAGGGATTCGCTGGTTTTATTTCGGCTATTTTGAACCTTTGACAGAAGTCATCTCATTCTGTTGGAAACTGACACGGCCATTTTAGGCCTTTTCTGACCCGCCCCGTTGGCTGTAATGTGTCTTACACTTGAGCAATCCCCTCCGAAAGAGAAGGTGAAACTGACCTATTGGCAAAAAAAAAAAAAAAAAAAATCGCCCCATAATGAGGAAGGTGCCTTTGCTGTAATCGTTTCTGCCAAGCCGGAACACAGAGCATGTCATTTCAGACCGCACGAGGGCATTTTATAGACCCTCCCCACGTCCCCTCGATTCCTGGAACTCTGTCACAGCAGCCTGTGCAGGCCGGCTTCTCAGGGCAGAGCGTCCTGTGTCCCGGACGCGAGGTTCTCGCCGGCCGGGGACACACACCGAGGGTAGGAGGCGACAGAGCTTGGCATGGCGGGCCTCCAGACCGGAGAGGTGACCCAGCTGGCTGGGCCGGGCTGAGTGGCTGGGCCCAGCACGTGACCTCCGAGCCTGGCTCCGTGGGGGGTGGGGGTGGGGCCGCCCTGGGCGCCTGGGGCTGAAATCGACATTTGCCTCTGGCAGGAAAGTGAGCCTGTCAGACTCTGTCTCCGTTAGACCCTCCACCCACGGGAACGGGGGATTTCGGTAGCCTTTTAACTTTCTATCTCAGGAACCAGAAAGCCCAAGGTAAGAGTTACTGATCACCTAGAAAAACAAGCTTGCGAGGAGTGACCTAGAAAACCACACGGCCACATTTGTGGAGTTTTAAAATCCGGTGCTGAAAATAATAGATCGTTGTGAGGGGCAAGGGCCCCTGGTTGTTCCCAAATTACAGACTGACCTTCTGAACAGATATTTGGTTACTGTGGAGGGAATGGCCGTAAAAGGGCCCAGGTTAAATATAGAAGGACGTGAAACCTGCGGAATAAATAGCAAGTAGGTAACTCTCATCTGCTTGTAAAACAATGTTTCACATCTCTTTGGGAGGCCCAACGGGGACAAGGGAAATTTGAAATTGCGATTTAAACTCTATTGAAAATAAACTAGTCTATATGAAGCTGGGATACAAGTAAAACCGGTTCCTGCTTTTGTCCTTCCACATTTCAAAACCGTTTATATGGTTTGGCAGAAGAAAACTTGGTATGTTCACTGCTCAAGTTTGAAATATGCCCTTTCAAATTTACATGATCACCGTTGGGACTTTTCTAAGGCTTTCTAGGCAAGGCTGTTTTGAGTTGTGAATGAGAACTGTTGACATCGTGCATATTTTCTGTAATAGTAAGATGACTCACTTTCTGCAGAATGTGATAAAAATTAAAAAGCGTGAAATAGTGAGTTCTTGTGAATTCACTCCTTCATGTCTGAGAGATCAAATTCCTTGCCAGAAAAGTTAAGAAAACACGGGTAGGTGGCATGAATATACGGTATCCTTATTTTTTTTATTTGGCAAATCCACGTTAATATGGATTAGAATGTTATGCTAGTGACAGTAGACAAAAACCTTACTCACCACTGCAATTAACGTAATATTCCAGGATGAATATGCTTCAAATTGGAAGTATTTGAGGTATGACTTCAAACAGCGAACCTCAGTGCAAAGTATTTCCGTGCGCTTCGTATTTCAACTGCCCTTTTGATTTACACAAAATCGGTTTTTCCGTTGCATTTGATAAAGACTCTTAAAACTCAAACACTAAGTTAGTTGTTCCCTGTCGTTACTAATCCCTGTACTGCTAACTCTTCTGAAATCCTATTACACGCTTGGAGCCTGTAATCATTCGGGTTTCTCCTCCTGTGTGCTGTTTGTTTCCCGTAGCCGGTGAAAGGCCAGGCAAACTGCGCACGTCCAGCAAACTGCCCAGAGGGGAGGCCCCGGAGCGGGGCTTCCCGGTCCCCCGCTCCTCACCTCCGGGGCCTTCCAGGTCTTCCTCGCCCCCCACCCTCTCCCCGCCTCGCCCCGAGGGCGTCACGTGGCGGCGTGGGACCCGCCTCCGGTGACGTCACCGCGCTCGCAGCCGTCGCGCTGAAGAAAGGATGCTCTAGGATGCTGTGCAGGTGGGCGGCCGGACGCGCCATGCGGCACTGCAGGTAAGGGACGCGCGGCGCCCACTCTGCAGGCGGAGCCCCGGCCTGCAGGCGTGCGGCCCGTCGGCGCCCCGGAAAGCGAAAGTGGGGTCT